ATCAGAGATGAGAAAGCTGGCTTCCCTGACAGTTTTCAAACTGGTTTGAGGCAGTGACTGCAAAATGAAGGTCAGACCCCAGAAAATCACTCTCTCCTTGATTGGCTTATGGCCATGCTTGTACTGTATGGCACAATCAGGATGATTTACCATCTTCCCCTGCTAGATGGCATATGTATGCCAAGTTCCAACAGGTGTTATGGCATGAAAAATTGCATTTATAGTCCAGAAAATTATGGCCCAGATGAGGAGCCTTTTACTGTGGGCATGAGAAATGTGGTGCTTCAAATGGCTCCCTCACCCCTCTTTGAGTTTTCCAGTGGCCATTCTTGCCCTTCACTTGGGGCAGCCAATAACTGAGGTTACCTGTACAGCAGCAGACTTGTAAAAGGCTGAAACAATGAAAGCATGGAAGGGAATATGGTCTGCTACTCAGAGGAAGAGTTAAAAGGGCCCTTTGAAGGTCACAAGAACCCAGATGTGTGCTGATTTGATAAAGCAATTATCAGACAGAGAAATTGGATGGATCATCAAATGAAATCGTCCTGGAACTGTGGAAACAACAGAAACTGGAACAACAGTTTCAACAGTTGGCTAAAGCAAGGACTAAGAAATGGAAGACAGAGACAAAACCACAAGTCCACTCCGTGTGTCTGCAAGACTTTCTGCTGGAGAGTGACCTGACCCCCTCCCCTGGAACATTACAGGAAGACGATTGGATAATACAGTTTGACTGAGGGGAGGTTCAAGGTACCCACCTTCAGGGACCAGAAGCAATGTGCAACGTGTCCTGGCTCTGGTGGACACAGTAGCTGAGTGTTCACTGATTTATGGAAACCTTGAGCAGTTTCCCTGGACCCCCTCTGTTATAGATAGGTATGGGGGTAAGGCTGTAAGAGTGAAACAAGCCTGGGAATTTAGAATCCACCCCCAAAGGAGTATACTATGTATTTATATCCCTACCCAAATATATTTTGGGGATAGATATCCTGCAGGGCCTACGCTTGCAGACAACTGCGGGTGAGTTCTGACTGAGGATACATGTGCATGCAGTTCTGAGAGGACATGCTAGGCACCAGCCAGTAGCTTTGTCTGGACCTCAGTGGGTGACTAATACTAAGAAAAACAGAATGCCTGGATGGCATTATGAAATTGGAGAAACACTTGAAGAACTGGAGAAGATGGAAAAGTATTGTAAAGCCCACCCATAGCCCAATAAAGTCGTATTTCCACTGCATCCTGCCATCCCCTCTATTGCAAGCCTTATGGACACCCTCAGTCATGAACTAAATAAAGTCATATTTCCACTGCAGTCTGCCATCCCCTCTACTGCAAGCCTTATGGACACCCTCAGTCATGAACTAGGTATGTATCATTACATTGTAGATCTTCCTAATGCCTTATTTTATGCTAACACAGAATGGGAAAGTCAGGAACTGTTTGCCTTCATGTGGGAAAGACAGCAATGGACTTTCACTGTACCTCCACAGGAACACCTCCACAGTATCACCATTTGTCATGGATTTGTAGCCCAGGACTTGGCAGCTTGGGAGAAAGCACCAACGTGTGGCTGTACCATTATTATATTGATGATATCATGCTCATATATGAATCTCTTTCAGATTTAGAAGGTGTAGCACCTAGATTGCTGCAACATCTGCAGGAGAAAGGATGGGCTGTGAACAGCACCAAGGTTCGAGGGCCTGGTTTGTCAGTCAAATTCTTGGGGGTTGTCTGGTTGGGTAAGACTAAAGTTATCCCAGAAGCAGTCATAGATAAAGTCCAGGCCTTCCCTGTACCTATAACTGTGGCACCATTACAAGAGTTTTTGTGTCTTTTAGGCTACTGGAGAGTGTTTATCCCACACTTGCAACAAATTCTGAAGCCCTTATACTGGCTGGCACAAAAGGGCGTCAGGTGGGACTGGGATGACACATGTGCATCTGCTTTTACTGCTACAAAATGGGCAGTCAAGGCTTTGCAGGCCTTGAGTGTGATAGACCCATTAGGGCCCTGTAAGCTGGATGTTCATGTGACCAAAGACGATTACGGTTGGAGTCTCTGGCAGTGGCTTGAATGAACTCACCAACCTATTGGATTCTACTCACAATTCTGGAAAGGAGCAGTGGTACAGTAACACCTTAACAGAAAAAACTGGTTGGTGTGTATCACACCTTGCTAGCTACAGAGCCCATCACTGGAAAGGCCCCGATAAAGGTAATAACCACCCTTCTCATTGCAGGGTGGTTATTAGGACGGACCCAAAAGCTGCAGGGTGGTGTGGCACAGATGTCTACAGTGGCCAAGTGGGGCGTGTACCTATACAAGCATAGCGCCCTCATTTCTAGCTCCGAGTGAAGAACTCCAATGCTTACTGGGGCCAGTGACATACACCAGTGAAAGGCAGGAATTATTTGCTTTAGAGCCATTAGTCGCAGAGACCCCTTATCAGGAGGGAAGAGCCCCTATAGCTGCAGATGCATGGTACACAGATGGTTCCAGCCATGGGCAGGCCCTGAAATGGAGGGATATAGCTTTTTATCCTAAGACTGAGACAATATGGACTGAAGATGGTGAGGGGAAGAGCAGTCAATGGGCAGAGTTGAGGACAGTATGGCTCATAATCAGCCAGGAGCCCACCCCAATAGTTGTCTGCACTGACACCTGGACTGTCCTGTCTATTGAGGCTTGACCCTGTGGCTACCAACATGGTACCATGCCAACAGGATGGCTTGTTATCAACCCTTTTGGGGTCACCATGACAACTGGATGGTTTGTCATTGACCCTTTTGGGGTCACCATGCCAACTGGATGGTTTGTCATTGACCCTTTTGGGGTCAAGAGTTGTGTCAAGACTTATGGACCTCTGTTCAGACTAAAACAGTATACCATGCGACTGACTATTTGCCCTTGGCATCTCTAGGAAATGATGAAGCAGACACACTGGCCCAGGTTTGCTGGCAAGAAGGAAAGCCTGTCTCTGCTGTGGCCCAATGATTACATCAACATTTGTTGCATGTGGGGCATAACACAATGTGGGCTGTAACCTGTCAGTGGGGCAAGGCTTTAACCTTTGAAGAAGTCAGCAGAGCCTAGCAAGAGTGCACTGCATGCTCTCCAAGGGACTTACACCAAGTCCCAGAGCAACACAGGACAATAGCTATGGGGCCGATGCCTCTCGTCAGGTGGCAGATAGAGTACATTGGGCCTCTGCCCATGTCAGATGTATCAATATGTATTGACATGTGTAGACATAGCTACTGGACTTCTGGTTGCTTTTTCTCCATGTTTCACAGACCAGCAAATGACCAAAAGAGGCCTAGAGTATCTCCTTGCAGCATATGGCTGAGTGCAGGTAATTGAGAGTGATCACAGCACCCACTTTACAAAAATGGTTACAACATCTAGAGATAAAGTGGAAGTTTTATGTGCCATATAATCCAACTGGGGTAGGCATGATAAAGAAGTACAGCGGTTTGTTAAAATTTGGCTTTAAGCCAGACACCAACAGTCTACAGGGATGGTCAGTTTCACTTATGGACAGTGCTATAGCATTTGAATGAAAAGCCCAAGCAAGGGGCACTGAGCCCCATAGACACACTAACACAAATTGCTGCCTCGCCTATACAACTGCAAATACAAACTAAGGAGAAATCACTGAAGCCAAGGTTTGGCCACAAGAATATCTTGCTACCAGCACCAACTGCAATAAACCCTGGAGACTCCATTCAGTGGACATGGCCTTGGACACTTCAACACATGTAACAGGGATGGCTGGCCATCCTGGCACCTTGCGAACAAGGCCTCGAAGCCACCCTCTTGTGTATTCCTGGAGTAACAGCATAGTAGCTCCCACAGACCGTAACAGTGCACCCTAAACAGACAGAAGCATCTTACCAGGGAGTTTTGTTTTATCTGTATGGGCAGTGTACATAGTGCTACTATACACTGTAGCAATATACATAGACTCTTAATAACCCCCACAGGGAGAGGGGTAAAGGCATGGTATACTAGACCAGGATGGGACCCCCTTCCTGTCACAGTGTATCACATGGCTACTCTCTTGCATGGATCCTACCTGATGGACAAGATTTGCCTATGTTGGTGTCACTAAAACATGTGTTTTTTTGCCCTTACAGTTAATTTCCTCTAATGTCTATGTGAAATTGGGCACATGCTCTAGTAAAAACTGTTTTCTGGGTGTGCACAGAAAGTGCGAATCATGAACTCATCTGAGTAGAACTGATTTGATAGAGCTGGCATGTCCAATTGGTGGCAGTCGATCTCCTCAGGCTTGAGGATTATCATAATTTCTGTTTTTAATATGTATTAAAATTTTCTTTGTTACTTCCATATTGTTATAGCTTCTGTTGCTGTTGTAGAATCTGGTTAAAATGCTCCAACTTTCTCGCACAGGGACCATCATGGTAGACTGAAAGCACATAGATTGTGAGGTGAGAATCCTAGAGGAAAACGAATGTTTCATGGTCAGGATTCTCACTTGACCCTGGTCTGCTTGCTTATAGTGTACATACAATGCGTGGAAACACAGGATTGCACATATATGGGCAGTAAGTTATTATTCACTCTACATAGAGCTCAGCCCAGTGCTCTGGCATTGTAAGGCAGTGCGGAGGCCCAGAGGCAGACACCTGTTTGCTGCATGCAGACTTGCCCAGATGCAGATGGGATTCTACACTTAACCTGCCATCACAAGAATAAGGCAGAGGTATAAACCCTTCTACCCACAACTTTGATTCTCATTTCTTGGTCTCACTGAATCCAGAGTGAACTTGCCCAGGGTTGAAACCCTCAGGCAAGGCATCAACTATCCAAGAGAGGTGGAAACTGCTATCTTGAAACACCTCTAATACATCATCATGTGTGCTGGATAGCAATTTCAGAATTACAGCATGGTAATCTGTTTTTGCCTCATTATTTTCAAAGTTTCATAATAGTTGTGACAATATGTTCAAGAGAAACAGTCTCCATGAACCCACCTTGTATATTCCTCTTGTAATTTGTTGGGGTCACTTACAAAAAATTTGACTCTAAAATTCAAACTGTAAGGAGATCCTCCTAGAATTAATGAAAACAATTCTAATTAATCAGATTATATATTAACCTTTCTTTATAAAGAATATTTGCAAAACATTAATGTATGCTCACTCTTTAGCTGCTTCCTGATTGGTTTGTTTGGATCCAGCCACCTCTGAAAAATAAATAAATGAGACTGATTTCTTTTTGCCTTGAGGAACTAATACATCAATTCTTACAAATCTGTTCCATCTGAAGATTAATGTTAAAAAATACATTTTAAAAAAGGTCTGGATAAGAAAAATATAATTAATTTACACACATTTGTATCAAATAAAATTATGCTATGAAGTGCCAAAAGTATTTGTGATAGCTTTAAGATTTTGATTTCAGTTGCCCATCAAATTATTATAGTGTTCAATAGCCTTCACCCCAAAAGTATGTTTAATAAGCACAGCAATCTGAAGTGATTTCTCGTAATTTAACTATTATTTAAAAGTCTGACAAGTTTTTAAAATTCTGTTAATCTCTCATAAAAACATGCTGAGACTTATGCTCCAATTCAAATTTTGACCACACACCATGAAAATCTACTCAAGAAAAATTTTGTAACTTCTACCCCATTCCTTCAAAAATTAACTAGATAAATAGATACCCCCTGCTCCCCCCCCATCAAAAGCACACCAATTTTATAAGAGATAATGTTTAGTTTGGGGAAGGACTTCTTTTTGTGAGTGAGAATTTTAAATAGTATCAAGACTTTTGAATGCAAGTTCTATTTCAGGAAAACTGTAACTGAATTTGTAAACTATTTCAACTGGCAACATGTTTCAGTTTAAAAAACTAAAGAATCTGGAGATCTTGAGATTCAAAATGGTGGCATGAGAGGTGAGACAGATAACTCCTCCCCAAACCACATACATTATGAAAATATAGTTAGTACATTTAATCCTAAAAGAGCAAGAGGAAAGAAGGGTGCACCAGACTACAAACACCTAGAGAACAGAGCAGACCTCATGAAACAGGGTAACATACCAAAGCCTTGATGCAGCAGGACCCAAGCCCTCCCCCACCCCAGCTCACCAGCAGGAGAAAAAGAAATGAAGTGGAGAGGGGATGGAAGCACAGGACTGCTGAACACCCAGCCCTGGAGATCTGCTTTGGGAGCACAAACCTACATTGCATGGTGCTCTGGAGATAGTGGGGTTGGAAAGCCAAGACACGAGGAATACTTGGAGAGACTGAGATTCCAGCAATTTGTGGAGGACAAGGATCCACATCTGGCTGCTCTTGAACAAAGGAAAGGCAGGCGGTCTGAGAGGCTTCCTAGCAGCGAGAGGGCAGCTGAAGGGGTGGGGTTTGCAGGGAGATTACTGCGCAGGAGAAGGGATACGTGGACAAGGTTGTCTGGGGCGCTCTGCCCAGCAGGTTGGCATCTTTCAGGAGCTACAGTAGCTTCATCCCCCTGGCTGGCTAATAAATTCTAAGGAACCCCACTGTCATACGCAGCCTGATGTACATTCCTCTGGAAACACCGGTAACCAGCTCACAAACTGGCAGTCCCTGCCCTGCCCTCAGGCCAGCCAGATGGAGGACCCACAGACAGCAGCTACAAACACAAAGCACAGAGGCTTTGGCCAACATGTTTTTACAGTGGAGACAGGCACTGCAACCAAGAAGCAGGAAACAGATCTTTTCTCCCCCCAGATAATGTTGCCGCGCCCCTGGAACCCGACATCAATGCAGGGGATGAGCTGGTCCAGAGACTAGAGGTGCTGGACACTAGAAGGGGCCACATACAAATATGAAACATCAAAGGAACCTGGTTCAAACAAAAAAACACAGACAAACCAGAAAATGAGCCAAATGAAATTGAACTCACCAATCTTCCTAAAAGAGACTTCAAAATAAAAATCATAAACATGCTCATGGAGGTACAGAAAGTATTCAAGAACACAGGGACAAATTTAGGATGGAGATTTAATTATTAATAAATTCCACATATGAAATGAAACATACAACGGAGGGATTTAAAAGCAGATTAGATGTAGTAGAAGAGATGGTAAAAGGAATTGAAATTAGAGAAGTGGGATACAAAGAAGCTGAGGCACAGATAGTAAAAAGAATCTCTAAGAATGAAAGAATATTGAGAGAAATGTGTGACCAATCCAAACAGAACAATATTTACATTATACGGGTACCAGAAGAAGAAGAGAGAGAAAAATGGACAGAAAGTGTCTTTAAGGAGGGAATTGCTGAAAAATTCCACAATCTGGGGAAGGAGATGGTCTCTCAGGCCATGGAGGTGCACAGATTTCCCAAAACAAGGGTCCCAAGGAAGACAACATGAAGACATATAATAATTAAAAGGGCAAAGATCAAGGACAAGGAGAGACTATTAAAAGCAGATAGAGAGAAAAAGAGATCACACACAAAGGCAAACACATCAGGCTATCATCAGACTTCTCAACAGAAACGTTACAGGCTAGAAGGGAGTGGCATGATATATTCACTGCAATAAGACAGAAGGGCCTATAACCAAGAAAACTCTATTTGGCAAGATTATCACTTAAAATTGAAGGAAGGATTAAACAATTTTCAGATAAGCAAAAGCTGAGAGAATTTACCTCCCATAAACCACCTTACAGTGCATTTGGAGGGAAAGCTATATAGGTGGAAGTATTCCTAAGATCAAATAGCTGTCACCAGGGGAAATAAAACAACAGCAAAGTAAAACAATTAATTACAAAGCAGATACAAAATCAAATGGTCAATCAAGGGATAGACAAAGATGACAGAATATGATACCTAACAAATAAAGAATGGAGGAGGAAGAAAAGGAAGGAAAAAAAAACAGTTTGTGTTGGTAATAGCATAATAAAGTGGTTAAATTACACCATTAGACAGTGAGGCAATTATCCTTGAACCTTTGGTAACCACGAATCTAAAGCCTACAATGGCAATAAGTATATAACTGTCGATAATCACCCCAAATGGAAATGGTCTGAATGCACCAATCAAAAACCACAGAGTCACTCAATGGATAAAAAAACAAGACCTGTCTAATTGATGCCTACAAGAGACTCATTTCAAATGCAAAGACATATACAGACTGAAAGTAAAGGGATGGAAAAAGATATTTCATATAGTACATAGGGAGAAAAAAGCAGGAGTTGCAGTACTTGAGTCAGACAAAATAGACTTCAAAACAAAGAAAGTAACAAGAGGCAAAGAAGGACATTACATAATGATAAAAGAGTTCAAAATAAAAATCATAAACATGCTCATGGAGGTACAAAAAATATTCAAGAACACAGGGATGAATTTAGGATGGAGATTCAACCATTAAGAAACTCCATATCTCAAATGAAACATGCAAAGGAGGGATTTAAAGCAGATTAGAAGTAGCAGAAGAGATGGTAAACGGAATAGAAATCATAACAAGAGGATATAACTATTATAAATATCAATGCACCCAACATAGGATTGCCTACATATGTGAAACAAATACAAACAAAATTAAAGAGGAAAATAGAATGCAATGCATTTGTTTTAGGAGACTTCAAAAAACCACTAACTCCAAAGGACAGATGAACCAGACAGAAAATAAGTAAGGACACAGAGGCACTGAACAATGCATTAGAACAGATGGACCTAAAGGACATCTACAAAATACTCCGTCCAAAAGCAAAAGGATACACATTCTCAAATGCACATGGAACATTTTCAAGAACAGGCCCTATACAAGGGAACAAAAAGAACCTCAGTAAATTTAAAAAGATTGAAATTGTACCAACCAGCTTCTCAGATCACAAAGGTATGAAACTAGAAATAAATGACACAAAGAAAATGAAAAAGCCCACAAACACATGGAGGCTTAATAACATGATAGTAAATGATCAATGGATCAAAGACCAAATAAAAACAGAGATCAGGGCGGAGCCAGGATGGCGGCGTGAGTAGAGCAGTGGAAATCTCCTCCCAAAAACACATAGCTATGAAAATATAACAAAGAAAACTCTTCCTAAAGTAGAGACCAGAGGACACAGGACAACATCCAGACCACATCCACACCTACAAGAACCCAGCACCTTGCGAAGGGGGTAAGATACAAGGCCCGTCCCGGCGGGACCCGAGCGCCCCTACCCCCGGCACCCGGCGGGTGGAAAGAAACCGGAGCGGTTTTTTTTTTTGGCGAGTGCCTTTTGGAAGCCTTAAAGGGACAGGGACCCCGTTGCTAGGGAGGCAGGGAGGCGGGACTGGTGAGCGGGTGCCTAGGAACGGCACCTGAGGACAAAGAATATCCTGCGTTTTTCCCGGCGGGGCCGGAAGGTGGGTGCCTGAGACTGGCGCCTGAGGATGGAGGAAATCGCGCACTTTAAAAATTTTTGTTTTCCTCTTTATGGCGAGTGCTTTTTGGAAGCCTTAAAGGGATAGGGACCCTGGTGCTAGGGAGGCAGAGCAGCAGGACCAGTGAGTGGGTGCCTGGGACCAGCACCTGAGGACAAAGAATATCGCGCGTGTTTCCCTGCGGGACCAGTGCGCGGGTGCCTCAGACTGGCGCCTGACGATGAAGGAAATGGCGCGTTTTTCCCCTTTTTTTTTTTGAATTTTTGGCGAGTGCTTTTTGGAAGCCTTAAAGGGACAAGGAACCCAATACCAGCGAAACTGGGTAGCAAGATTGGTGAGCGGGTGCCTGAGACC